GTCATTGTCTCGCAATTAACTTCTTTAATGACAAAGGTGCTATAATTGGTGATAATTTAGACGGGGTAATTTAAGGTCATGTTTAGAGGTGAAAAAAGTAGTCTAGGAGCGTGAAAGGGAGTAGGGTAGGCGTATAATATATTGCAGATAAATGTGTTATCAAAGCTAAATGATGTTAGAAACTTAAATATCATTACATTTTGAAAGTTATAAATTGTGATGAGTTTTTCCAATAGCATTTAGAAATTATCGCATAGGACCTACCATTATTATCCCGATAACATCGGGTCATTTATTCTAGTCTATAAGAGTTTTCCAGCGTGCTCCCCCGATTGTTACAAAATCTTAATTAGTCGACCTTAAAGTCAAATTTGTCCTTATTTGAGTGAAGTTTCATGGCAAGTAAAAGACTTTTTTTTGCACTTTAGAAAGAAATGCTTTAGGTGTCTTGGGTTAAAAGTTCTATTTTAATTGTTCTAGTTTATTTAATGTTTGTCTATGTAAGAATATCTATGTGTGTACTGAAAATGAGTATATACATTGTAATATAAAAAAAATTGCATTTTTTTTTGGATCTATAAAAGAATCTTGTCTCATCTCAACCTGTGGGTTATTTAAACTGATGGCCATGGACCTAATTTCACAACTAGGACCCCAAAATTCTGGGATGATTGTCTACCTTATTTTCCATGTGTTGCTGTGTTGCTCCGGGTTGAAATGGCTAGAAAGACTTTGATATTGTATGCTTGTAATTAGTTTTTGTAGTGTTGCGTTTGTTTTAAATGTGGTGAATTATAGATATGTTTTTTGTTCACTTTGTACCGCGCTTCGAGCCTTTGGGGATGAAGCGTGTTTTTGAAATGCACTTTATTATTATTATTATTATTATTCTCTTAAAAATAACAGATTAATATTTGTGCACAACTCCCGGCTATCTGACTTCAATCGGTTTAACCCTAGATCCCTGAGGGCATACGCACGTCATTGTCCCACTCAGTTCAACTTACCATTGGTGTGGGACAGTGTGGGACATTGGTGTGGGACAGTGTGGGGCATTGGTGTGGGAAAGTGTGGGACATTGGTTTTGGACATTGGTGTGGGGCAGTGTGGGGCATTGGTGTGGCGCAGTGTGGGACATTGGTGTGGGACATTGGTGTGGGACATTGGTGTGGGACATTGGTGTGGTACATTGGTGTGGTAGATTGGTGTGGGACATTGGTGTGGGACATTGGTGTGGTACATTGGTGTGGTACATTGGTGTTGTACATTGGTGTGGGACATTGGTGTGGTACATTGGTGTGGTACATTGGTGTGGGACATTGGTGTGGGACATTGGTGTGGTTCATTGGTGTAGGACATTGGTGTGGTACATTGGTGTGGTACATTGGTGTGGTACATTGTGTGGGACATTGGTGTGGTACATTGGTGTGGGACATTGGTGTGGTTCATTGGTGTAGGACATTGGTGTGGTACATTGGTGTGGTACATTGGTGTGGTACATTGTGTAGGACATTGGTGTGGTACATTGGTGTAGGACATTGGTGTGGTACATTGGTGTGGTACATTAGTGTGGGACATTGGTGTGGTACATTGTGTGGGACATTGGTGTGGGACATTGGTGTAGGACATTGGTGTGGTACATTAGTGTGGGACATTGGTGTGGTACATTGTGTGGGACATTGGTGTGGTACATTGGTGTGGTACATTGGTGTTGTACATTGGTGTGGGACATTGGTGTGGTACATTGGTGTGGGACATTGGTGTGGTACATTGGTGTGAGACATTGGTGTGGTTCATTGGTGTAGGACATTGGTGTAGGGCATTGGTGTGGTACATTGTGTGGGACATTGGTGTGGGACATTGGTGTAGGACATTGGTGTGGTACATTGGTGTGGTGCATTGGTGTGGGACATTGATGTGGTACATTAGTGTGGGACATTGGTGTGGGACATTGGTGTGGGACATTTGTGTAGGACATTGGTGTGGAGAATTGGTGTGGTACATTGGTGTGGTACATTGGTGTGGGACATTGATGTGGTATATTTTTGTGGGACATTAGTGTGGTACATTGGTATGGGACATTGGTGTGGGGCATTGGTGTGGGACATTGGTGTGGGACATTGGTGTGGGACATTGGTGTGGTACATTGGTGTGGTACATTGGTGTGGGACATTGGTGTGGTACATTGGTGTGGGACATTGGTGTGGGACATTGGTGTGGGACATTGGTGTGGGACATTGGTGTGGGACATTGGTGTGGGACATTGGTGTGGAGAATTGGTGTGGTACATTGGTGTGGTACATTGGTGTGGGACATTGATGTGGTACATTTTTGTGGGACATTAGTGTGGTACATTGGTATGGGACATTGGTGTGGGGCATTGGTGTGGGACATTGGTGTGGGACGTGCGTGTGGGACATTGGTGTGGTACATTGGTGTGGGACATTGGTGTGGTACTTTGGTGTGGTACATTAGTGTGGTACTTTGGTGTGGTACATGGTGTGGGACATTGGTGTGGGACATTGGTGTAGGACATTGGTGTGGTACATTAGTGTGG